TCAACAAAAGAGCAATGATATGCAAGTGCTATAACAAGTCTCAGTTAGCTTAATGCAGTACACGTAGCAAGTTTTTTTCATATAATAAAAATAAAACAGATAGAATAGAAAAAGAATAGAGCAAGCTAGTGTAAGAGGCCTTTTTTGCTTTTGTTAATCAGAAGTCAGAAAGTCAGAATTATAATTGTATAATAAATAAAAAGAAAACAAATAGATAGAATGCAAAACGATTAGAGAAGCAAATGTTAGGTTTTTTTTAAAGAAAACAAGCAGTTAGTAAATATATAGAGTGCAAGTCTAAAAGGGGCAAGTTATTTATATATATATTAATTACATTTCTTGTTATTAACATAATAAAGTGCACTAAACATTACATTAAGTCAAGTTTTCCCAAACTGGGGCTCGTGAAGGAACTGCAGGGGGTTCGCAAGTTTAATGAAAATCTAAAAATTTAATCATAAAAATGTAAAATTAAAATAAATCATTTTAAAATAACAACAATCAAAATAAAACACTTACTAAAAATAATAATAATTTGTTTATCTGCATGTCATGTGACCATTAACCAATGTCAGAGAACCGTGAGCATGCAAATGTGATACTTAATTATCAACTTATTACCTTAAAATCTATCTCAGGGGGCAGCTCAAATAAATATATTAGGTGAAAGAGTCAGATTTGGCTGACAAAAAAAAGTTTGGGAATCCCTGCATTACATGTAAATAAAAAATAATGTGAATTTGTGTATTTGAATGTGTTTGAAAGAAAAAAGCCTTCCAAAGACATAGTAATACATGGTTAAATAACCTACTGACTGAGGTATAATTCAAATAAAAATTAATGTGTTCATTAGTAGTTGATGCAATGTTGAAATGTTCATAAAACACTTTATTAAATTGAAATGATTTTTGTTAATCCAGTGGTCAAATGCTGTGTGGCCTCTCACTTTTCTCTATTATTTAACAATTGTTACCCCAGTGTAACATGTATGCCTTGTTTTCTGTGTGTTTTTGGTTTGGCCCTGTTTGGCCTAGTTTTCCCCAGACTGATTAATCAGTCATTCAGTTCACCTGTTGTCTGATTATCTCATTAGTTCACTTTGTTTGGTTCTTGCTTATAAGCCCTCAGTTCTCCTCTAGTCTTTGTCCGTTCTCGTCTATATTTTGTGGTTTTGTGAGTTTCCTGTGGTTTTCCTGTGGATTTATCTATTAAAGACTGTTATTGTTAATTCTTCGTTGTTGTGCGCTTTACTCACAACAACCCACCGTGACAGAAGAATGGACCAAATACAGTTTCTAGTGGCATTTTTCTTTCTTTTTGTTCTCCTTTCTTTTTCACTCACCCATGGACCTGCCCGCAGTTCAGCTGCTTTGCCTGGAGCAGAAAGACTGGAGGTTCGCTGGAGGACCATACCAGGGACTTTTTAGATCTGGCGTGCCTCACGCACTATCCTGACCGCTCGCTGTGTTTTTTACCATACCAGCCTCAGCGAGCAGTCGAAGGCACACCTTCTAGTGAACGGTCCAGAGAGGATTTCACCGCATTTGTGGAGTGGGCGCTGGAGAATAATGGACTTTATTTCTCTGTCTGCCCTGCTGAGGAGGACATCTCCAGCCCCACTCCCGATCCAGAGCCCAGCCAGCCATCACCACCCAGCTGCACAGAACATCTGCCTGAGCCCACCGCAGACGGAGAGCCCGAGCCCATTGCGACTGAAGAGCCAGCGCGAAGAGAAGAGACTGTGCCTGCCATCGCCCCGGAGCCAGAGACTGTCGATGCATTTGACCAGGTGTGTGAGCCGGCAACATCGCACGTGCCTGAGGGAGTACTAGTGGAGATCGATGGCTTGGAGGGTTGCTGCTGAGGTTGAGCTGCAACTGGCCTCTGGAAACTATTTAGAGGAACTGATGGACATTTTTGATACAGATTTAATTGAATGGTTTGGGGAGGTAATACCCAATTCTCCTGAGTCTCCTGAGTCTACGCTGGTTCCGTCCAGTTCTCCTGAGTCTCCTACATCTCCTGAATCTCCGCTGGTTCCACCCAGCTCATAATCTCCTGAGTTCCCACCCAGCTTACCTCTCCCGCCTCCTCTCCTAAAACCAGCCAGTTCCTCAGTCCTGCCTCCACTGGTTCCTGTCAGTCCCTCAGCTGATCCTCAGTCAGCACTATCTGGGCGCTCTGATTTTACCTCTGGCCTTCCAGTCTCCAGCTCCGCCTAGGCGTGAGGATCCCCTGTCTCTGCCTCTGAGTCCCGGACTCCACCTCGGCACCCCAACCCATCGGCTCTGCCTTGGCTGCTTGCTCGCTCATCTCCACCATGGCCCGTCATCCCACTGGCTCCACCAGGCTCCCTCGTCCCTCCGGCTCCGCCTTGGTCGACCCTCCTCTGCCATGGGATTCTACTCCTCTGGCTTTGCCTCGTCCCTCCATCCCTCTGGCTCCGTCTGGCTCATCCTTCCCTCCGGCTCCACCATTGTCCTCAGTTGCTACAGCTCCACCACGGTCTTCCGGGTCCCCATCTCCACCTCACTCACATGAGCCATCAGCTCTGCCTTGGCCCTCCGGACCTCAGGTGTCACCCTGGCTCTCCATCTGCTCGGCTCCACCTGGGTCTCCACCTCCAGCGGCTCCGTCTCCATTAGTTGT